GTCGTCACACTGCTAAAGACGGTGCTGGAACCCACCACTGACACCGAAGAGCAGCAACACAAGCCTCTGGCTCAGGGCCTTCCGACAGCACCCTAAAGTGTGTTTCCTGAAGTCAATGTGCCCCATAAAAAAAATAAGCAGAAAGTCACTCAAGCCACACCGCCCTTTCTGCCAAATGCTCATTAGCATGGTCCTTTCTGTACCTCGTGCTCCCGGCTTCTCTTTGCCACCTGTATTTCCCAAGGTAGATTTACCAGTTTTCAAAGACAAATGGAGAAAAATGGATTACTAAGTAGAATATAAAAACAACCGCCACTATTATCTTATTCTAATGCGTACAAGTGCTGTAAGCTTTCACATAGTCTGTGTTGTTGTTGTTGTTGTTGTTGTTGTTGTTATCTTGGAGTCAGAACCAACCCCTAGCTCACCCTCCAGCAGGTTTTCAGAGGCTGTTAAGTTGCCTGGGAGGAAACTGCTCAGTCTATGCCAACATCTTCAACTTTAAAAATATTCATCAATAGAGAAATGCAGCAATGAATGAATGGAAATCCAAATTCTCTGTAAATGTTCATTAAAATTATTTTTTAAAAAATTTTTTAAAAAGTTCAGGGAAGAAGAAGAAAAAAAATATTCATCAAATTTGGAATTCTATAGAAAACCTCCAAATAGCATCACCAAAAGTAGCTCAGATACTGATGATGAACACTAATTTACTTAGAATTCTCAGATCTGGAAGTAGTGGTGTCTCTAATTTGATGAAGAGGCTTAAATGTAAAAAACCAAACCACAAAAAGAACTCCAAAAACATTTGTGTTATGACAGGCTCCCTTGTATACATACACCTGGGAAGACTCAAGACCACAGAGTAAGGCCATACCATTGTCACCGAGTTCATTCTGGCTTAAGCTGACGATTCTGGCTCAAGGTGAGATTGCAGCTCAAGGTGAATCATGTGTGTCTGAGAAGAGCTTTGCTTTCAATGGTTGATTTTTCAGAAGAGGGTTGCCGGGCCTTTCTTCCAGAGCAATGGAAATTTTCTAGCCTTTCAATTGGCAGCCAAGCACATCAACAGTTTGTATCACTCAAGGACTCTGTTAGAACAAAAGGCCCAGGAGGAGTTGGCCTTCCACTCGTCCACTCCGCATCTGTAGCATATGCATGCACAGAGCAGGCACCGAATACATTTTTGTTGAGTGAGGAAGTGCTGCTGATTTGATAAACCATGCAAGAATACAGTCTCCAAAACTAAAGTTCAAGGAGATTTCACTTTTCAAAGAGAAGAGTGTTCTGGGGGAGTTGGGTGGGGAGGGCAAGGAGAAAAGTATAACAATGAGTGGATATCCAAAGTCTCTGTAATCCCAGAGGTGCACAGTTCAAATCCACCAGATGCTCTGCCAGGGAAGGAGGGGCAATCTCCTCCTGTACCAGTCAGATCTGATTTAAAAAAAAAACAAACAAACCAAAGTCTCTGTAAATTTTCATTAAAATTAACAATAATAATTTTTTTTCTTTTTTTGTTGTTTTTTGGGTAATAAAAATTTTTTTAAAACAGTTCAAGGAGAGATAAATTTTCAGGTAAGATCTTCACATGTAATATTATCCTTTCCACAAGTTATGCCTCGAATAGCACTGAAATTCTCTTTTTCTTTCACAAGAACAAAATGCACCAATTGCAGGGCAAGTGGGACCTGATCCAGGTTAACATCACAGAAGAATATCTTAAAAGGAAAAAAAGCCCTGAGATTTAAAAAAAAAAAAAGCGATCACACTGCTGTGCACCAGCCAGCAAAAAATTGGATATGCACATTTGATAACAACCCTCTGCAAAACAGGCCATTTCCTCTGGTTTCTTTTTCAACTAGCTAAGCATTTTTTTTTTTTAAGTTTATTGACTTGGAAAGTTTTCCCTTTCATGTAACCACGAGTCTTTATTTCCCTTGTCTTCTTTTTCAGTCCTTCCAAACATCTGACCTCTCACCTGGGTGACTTTTATCAGAACTTCTCTTGTTTGGAAAATTCCCTCCTTTCAATTCCATGTCAAAAGCATCCAACCCCTAAAAACTTGTCTTCTCTGATTTTAAGGAAGCTCCTCTTCCTTTTGGCAGAGGCCAAGTGGAAGTCAGTGTGCCCCATAAAAAATGAGCAGAAAGTCATTCAAGTGGTGCCACTCTTTCTGCCGAATGCTCATCAGAATGGTCCTTTCTGTACCCTGTGCTCCCACCTTCTGTCTGCCACCTGTATTTCCCAAGGTGGATTAATCAGCCACAGAACTTTTTCCCTCCCAAGCCCAACATCATAAATCATCTCTAACCTGACATTCTGTTTCTCAAAGCTAACAAGCTTCGATAAATAAAAGGAACTCTGGATAGACATGCATTTTCTTGTCATCAAAATCCTTCCATGTGTTTAACCCTTTGCATACATCTCAAGGGCTGAATCAAGGAAGGAAGGGATGCATTTTACACACTTGATAAAGATGATATTCTTTGACTTTAGGAAGCAGGAAGCACAAGCAATAATTATTCTCATTTACATATGATGAAATTGCATCAAAAAGGTTAAGTGGCCAATGCCTTGTGGCTAGGTGTCGCTCCAACCTGTGTAGGCAGATTCTACCTTTCAAACACAAGGTTGTCTCCTATCTCTAGTCTCCTTTTGTTTCTGTTTGGCTGCCAAGAAGCAACTTTCAAGGGATCCAGTATTTCCAAGGGAAGGCAGACCTCTGACCTTTGGGGCATATTCTCCCCCTGCCACCGTTTCTATTCCACTGCTAACAAGCTGGAAAAGCCATCTTCTCCCTTCGCAATAGGAAATAATGCCTTCCTCTTGTGTAAAGCACCCTTAACAACTACTCCTTTCCAAAATGATTTCCAAGAGTTCCTGTTTTCGAGGGACTTACTCACAAGACACCCACAGTCCAAAAAGTTTGCATCAGCATATGATTTTCTCAATAAAGTTCAGGGCTGATGCAATGTTTCTTAGCCTCGAACTTTACAGAGGAAAAAACGGATGAACACAGAGCAGTTGAAAAATTATGCAACATGATGCCACATTTTCAGTCCAGCACATCTGTCTCCTTGGGTCTCCTGTGAGTCACTGCCTTCATGTTCCTATCATTATAGGAACTGCCACATCCCACCCTAAGTCATTTTATTTTTAAGGAAAAAAACTGCAACAAAATAGACTGCTGTTAGGACTTTCACCACCTCGTAGAAACGGATGAGGCACTGTCCCCTTTAAAGTAGCAGCCAAGATGCTATCCAAACAGAAAAGGAGGCTGGTAAGGGTGCTTGCTATTAACAACAAACACATAGGAGGCCGGGACCCAAAGCTAAGTAAGAAGCTTCCCTTCTATCATGGCCTGGTGGGAAGGGAAGGAAAAGAATCATAGAAGAAACTGATCAAGGTTGCAGTGCAGGTCAGCACATGGCCTGAGGCAGTGGCCAGCAAGGGAGACCTCCTAGGAGTGACCTGTGCAAAAGAAGAATCTACTCCTTTGCTTTCAGTACAAAATAAACCTAAAACATTCAAATCCACTCCCCAAAGGGTTAAAGTCTTTACTGCCAATTGTCAAGTCTACTTTCATAGTGGAATTGTCACAAATCCTGTCCTATACAACACCTTCTCATTCATGTCTCGGCAGAATACGATTCAATGAAATAAGTGCACTTTAAGAAAGCATCATCATTCTCCTATCTGGAAATGAACACTTTGAACAATCCAAACCCTACAAAGCCGGCCACAGGAACAGAATATACTGAGCTCAAAACAAAACAAAACAAAACAAACCACTTTAATGTTACAGAATGAAAGGTCTCTTTTTAAATCAGCAGGTCAACTTGAACAAAAAGAGAAACAGAAAGCTATTGTAGGGCTGTTGCCTTCAAATCACACGAGCACAAAACACGCTGGAATAGTAAACAAACATGCTTCTGAGCTCTGGAATAATCCGGCAAACTGACAACACATTACATCCTAAGGAATATCTCTCCCCTCATTCATTATTGCCCAAAGTCGCCACTGGCTCACAGCTCTAGTTTCCACCTCCTGTTTAGTTTATTGCTTGTAAATGATAATGCATAGAGCATCTACTGAAAATAAAATAGGTACAGGAAAATGAAAACATCTAAGATTTTAAGTCTCATAAAATAAGGGGCAGTAAAAGCAACCGAAAGGAATTCTGCTTGTGCTATTCTATTCATGCTACTTCAGTGGATTTAAAACTCAGATGAAAGCGCCACTGCTCCACCACCCAGGTTCCAGGAAGGAAGCTCGACGGGGCACCTGCCTCAGCAGGACCCCAAGGGCCCCCCTCATCAAGTCGCCTGCCTCATCCAACCAGCTGACCCAGAAATAGGATGCAGACCTTGGCCATGCTCGCCCTGCTGCTCCAACAGGAGGCTCTAAAGTCACACTTCCATTTGGCCCCGGCACACCCTCGTCCCCAGCTCTGAGACACCCAGCTGCAAGGAGGAGGGAGAGACTCAACTGCCCCAGAGAGAAGGCTGGAGACGGGCAGAAGTGGACGAGGGGATCCGGAGCGCGCTCTTTACTACTGCCCCGGCCTGGGGTGGCCCGGGGTGGCCTAGGATGGCCCGGGGTGGCCCAGGATGGCCGGGGATGGCCCGGGGACCCAGCGCCTCTCCACACTCAGTCCCCGGAGGCTCGGCTCTGGCTTAGCGCACTCCCAGCCCTCGGGGCAGCGCCCCCTAGCCTCGGCCCCGGGACCCTGCTCCTCTCTCGGTCCCGGGGACCCCACGGGACCCCACTCCAGCCCGGGGTGCTGCAGTCCCCTCTTCGTCCCCCCATCCCAGACCTCAGCGCTCGCCGGGGCCCCGGGAGCCCTGATCCAG